AAGGTTATACTTTGGACTTTATGGAAACTAGAATGAAAATCGTGAATGCTTTTAATATTTATGGTAGAGATATATATGAAGTTATTTTATTTTCATCTATATTGTTAATGTAGGAAAAATATGATGAACTTTTAATGGGCAATGCTAGTGGTAGTGATGGTTCTGCAAGTGCGTCATAAGTACAGTTTCACCCAATTTGTTCATGCCCTACAATTACTTTTTGTGCACAACTTTCTCACAACTAGGTTCAAGGATCTAATTTTTCCTATGTGACAGAAATACGGTTTACAAGGGTGAAAAAATTACAGTGGATGTCAAAGTTGACTCATACTCATAGGTAAGAACATTGATGTTCGTCCTGAAACGTTTTTTTGTTAACCCTCTTACTTGTTTTTTTATACCTAGTTCCACATCCATGCATAAGCACTTCGTTATATTCCAGTATCTGATCGAATATCTTTATTTATGTATCCACATTTCATCGTGTGTCCACAAAAGTGAATGCTTTTGGTGTCCTGCCGAGTACCACAGCTGCCCAATCTTGTGTCTGGTTTGTCGATTTTTCGTTTTCTAAATTTCTCTATGGTTGTCCCGCCTCCTATGAATGTTTTGAATGTATTATAAGATTGGATATCAAATATCATCGTGTGAGGCTTTGCAACTTGACATATCTCATTATTTTTTGCGGACTAGCATCTTTCCTTCAGTTACATTTTTCAATTATATGGCTTTGTGTCTGGTTTGTTCGTTTTCTGTTTCTGAAGCGGAATCTACGGTTTTCTCGTGTCCTTTGACTGTTTTCAATGTATTACATGATGTTCAATAATGCGTAGCAATTGATATGGACAAGATTTGATGGCCGAAATGCTGTAAAATTTGCGACGAATATTTACATACGAATTTCGCGACCATTACAGTTTGTGGTTAATTTGCGACGAATAAGTAGCGACGAATCAAGTTTGTGCCTAATTTCTGTCCAATACATTTTGCGACGAATTTTGCCATGAATTTTGCGACGAATTTTGCGACGAATTATTTGCGACGAATTTTTTTGCGACGAATTATTTGCGACGAATTTCCGTCGCTAAATTTTCGTCGCAAATATTTGCGACGACCTAGTAGCGACGGAATTTTTTCCGTCGCTAAATTCGTCGCAAAATCAATTTGCGACGGATTTTTGCGATTTTTTCGTCGCAAAATCCGTCGCAAAGAACATGTTTTTTTGTAGTGTCCTAAACATTTTCACGTTTTATCAATTGAGTCTATCCAGTCAATTTTGATTGGAAATCGTGACGTGGACGCTGGCCGTCCCACGTGTCATGGTCGGCGTTGATGTGGATGATTTTAATACTATTCGAATTTTTATTAATTTTTTTATTATATCTTTAATTTTCTTTTCCTTCTTTACTTTTTTTTTACTGTGGTTGACAAGGGTGGCCAAGCCCTCGTCGACGGTGGCCAAGGGCCGAGACGCCCTGACCCAACCTCTCCCAGATCTGGGCAGGGCCATTGCGGCTTTGAGCGAGGGCTCAGTCGGCAGGCCTCGCTGCCCTCGCACACGGTTGGCGGCCCTCGCAGGTCATTAATAATAATTAAACAAAAGAAAAGAAAGAAAAGAAAAAAATAATAAAAATTTCAAAAAATTTCCACATCATAGTCGGCCGTGCTACGTATGACGGCCGACGTCCATGTCACCAATTTCCGGACAATTGGCGGAATGAATTACATTGGCTAAATTGAAAATGTTTAGAACTGAATTGGCATAAGTTCAGGTTCAGGACTTTTGGTAAATTTCCCTAAGCTATAACCTTCCAATCACGATTTACATGTGCCATGCCCAACATTTTCCTATTCACCATTCTCTCTACGTGTCGAAGATGCACGAGATCAAGGGAATAGGCGATCACGAGATTGGATCTTCCGCTCGATAATCTCACTATATAATAAACATTGGACGCCATTGCAAGTAACGTTGCTTTGCCCAAGAAGCAAAAGGGTACCCCATTGACAGCTCCAAGACTTCAATTAACTAATAGAAATCGAATAACTTTATTGGTCAATATATGCGTTTAGGTCAGCAATCCCATGTGAATTCAGTCAATGTAAACCCCCAAGAACTGAAAAAAAAAAAATTAAACAAAAAAATAGGACAATTAAAAAAAAAGAAGAAGAAAGGCCACCGACTCCTAAGTCCTAAGTCCAAGTGTCTCTCAAACCATTAAATTTTTAACGTGGTCGCTACGTGAGTTCACGTTCCTTAGACCTAGACTGGTACGTACATCGTGGTACTTACGTTAGAATTCTGCTTTTTTTCATAAAAAAATTATTTCCTTTATTTAATTTTACGGTTAGAGGAAAGAAAAATGTTTGATCTTGAATTTTTTCCATTAATTAAAAGCTTCTTCGATCGAGGTAGCCCGTAAAGTTTTTCCGATTATTCGTAACGGTGAAAGTGTAAATGCTTTGCGTGTGAAAAAGGGTACGGGAAAATAAGGTTTTAAATAAGTAGAGAAAAGAATAACGTCTACAGATTTTATCTATTTTGGAAAGGAACGATTTGGAATTTCGTCGAATTGGGAATTTTTTAAAATTCAATTTTAAAAAGTACGAGAAATTCGAGAAGCCGCCTTTTGTAATTATATGAGCTACTTTTGAATTATTGTTATGTCTATAAATTAGAATGGAGAAGATTCAATCAATTCCTTTTTTTTTATTTATAAAACTTCGACTTTGAAACCACCCTTTTTTTTTACTTTTTATTTAGTAAAGACGTGAATAGATATAATTTTTTTCCCTTCACATTGATAGATAAATTTGGGAAAATATCTATGTTGAGAATTGTCAATATTTTATACGACGACACGACAGAGCAATATCCATCAATTCATCTTATGATGCAAAAAAATTAAGTGAAATACTGTATTTACCGAAACAAATCGATGCGAAAAGAGATTGTACTTATCCCTCCTCACTTGATTTTTTTCCTTAAAATTTGTATTCATATATGTATTACACGACAAGACTTGCAAATTATTTCCTTGAATTTTGTGAGGTTTACAATATACCCCACCCCCCTCTAATTTTCTTTTTCTTTCTTTGACAAAAACAAACCCAATCAATAATTAATTTCCATATAAAAAAAAGGGTTTCCTTTTTCAATACCCAAATCTTTAGTCTATACAAAGCAAAGCGTGAATTTGCAGTAGTTGACCAACTTTTTCTGGGGGTCCTAAGAAATTAAATTTTCTGCAATCTACACACGCAAGTCCAAATTTGGCGGACCATTCTATGCGCAATCAAAGCACGTACAGACGAAAGATGGACCGCTTATCTCGAGATTAGTCAAACTTAATTAACTTACTAATTACGGTGGTAACCATCACATTAATTCCCTCATTGGTATCTCAGCAATAAAGTAATTTTATTATAGTTACTGTCTAGATGAGCGGAATTTTCAGAAGAAAAATATAAAGCGAAGAAAAATTTCGCGCATAACAATTCTCATATGGTAATTTTCGGTCTAATTACAAGTCAAAATCTATCGAAAAAATCTTTTTAAAGACATGGAATTGGAGAAAAAGAAAAAAAAAAAAGGAAAAAAAATTATAGATGTAAAGTGTAAACCCAGACAAGATTTCAATTTACCAAACTGATAAAGACGCGTAACCAAAAAAATTTGACTTCAACCTAGGTGTCTCCTGGTCCAATCTCTGCCTAATAAGTAATAAATGATTATTATTATTACATTCAATTTGTTATCGCATATTCGATTATCTTATCGCACACTATGCAAATGTGAAATTATCGATCGATAAAATGCCGGGGTTAGATTTAACTTTTGAATTTTTTAAAAATATGATAGAGATGTTTGATTAGCTAGTGATATTACGTAACGGTAAATTATTTTTATTTTGTTTTCTCCCTTTCACAAGGTTTTTAAGGCATGGCTTGCGATGCGGCCTTGGCATGACAAAAGAAGTGCTTCCCTTAGGAGCAGAATAAAAACCAGAGAAGTTCATTTTGTATTTTTTATTTTTTGCTAGTGATAATAAATAGTTCTTTTTTTGTCATTTCTATATGGGGAAATACGTCTTCGGAGATTGCGAGTTGATAATCATTCAAACTGAAAATAACAAATTATCTCCTTGTTAAATGTCTGAATTGAGAATATATAAAAAGATGGCGATGAAGTTAACTGTGCTCAATAGATCAACTACTCAACCCAATAGTTTTCTCTTGGGTTGGACAATCCAATAGTTGATCGAACACAAGTTGATCAATTAAGCACATCATCTTCGACCAAAATAAAAATAAAATTTAAGCACATCGTCGAATCAATTATGGATATGTTATGTTCGAGGAGGAGATGCAAATCAAAGTTTTTTCAAGCAGTTCGAAAAGGTGCGCGTAAATGGAGGTTACTCAATCAAATCTCACCAATTGCATTTAATGCATAAATCAAAGGTTTTGACTGTACGTGGAATTCTCTAAAGTGTTTTGCATACTTCCAAGTAATCGGATATCTACACTCGTGTATCTGGATTACAGAAAGACATACACATAAATGCAAATCGAAAAAAAAGGAAATATTGGATATCCTAGTTAAGAGATGTGATGAACACAAAAAAGTAACTACAAGAGGCAGAAAGAAAAAAAAAACATGTTCATAAAATAGATAAACATTTTTCCGATCGAATTAAGATAACCTTCCTATTAAAAAACAATTCGAATTGGTATATCATATACCGGCCGTGTAATTTAGTTCCTACACAATCAAATTCATCACCATTTATATGGACAGCGAATTACAAAGTCGATCGACTATCCAAATTAATGTCGATCGATGTGGTTTATGTCGGGAAAAAAAAATAAAAATAAAAATGTTCTTAAAAGAACTTTACCCTAAAGCCACAAAAAGAAAAAAAAAAGAAAAAAGAAAGTGGAAGCATTCCAAGTCAACGAACCCACCTTCTTTCTCCTCTTTTAATCTCTCCTCTTCTCGCCCTCAACCAGAGAGAGAGAGAGAGAGAGAGATCCACCGCCGCCTCCGCCTTCAACACCCCGAAACCCTCTCCCTCCTCCGCCGCGCCGCCGCCGCCGCCGCTCCTCCTCCGCCGCGCCGCCTCCTCCGCCATGGCGCTCTCGAAGGAGGTGGTGAAGAAGGTGGCGATCTCCTACGCCTACGTGGCCATCTGGATCTCCCTCTCCTTCGCGGTCATCGTGTACAACAAGTACATCCTGGACCCGAAGCTCTACGGCTGGCCCTTCCCCATCTCCCTCACCATGACCCACATGGCCTTCTGCTCCTCCCTCGCCTACCTCCTCGTCCGCGTCCTCCAGGTCGTCGACCCCGTCACCAACATGACCCGCGAGTTCTACCTCAAGAACGTCGTCCCCATCGGCGCCCTCTACGCCCTCTCCCTCTGGTTCTCCAACTCCGCCTACATCTACCTCTCCGTCTCCTTCATCCAGATGCTCAAGGCCCTCATGCCCGTCGCCGTCTACTCCATCGGCATCTCCCTCAAGAAGGAGACCTTCCGGTCCAACACCATGGCGAACATGATATCCATCACCCTCGGCGTCGCCATCGCCGCCTACGGCGAGGCCAAGTTCGACGCCTTCGGGGTCTTCCTGCAGCTCGGCGCGGTGGCCTTCGAGGCCACGCGCCTCGTCCTGATCCAGATACTCCTCACCTCCGCCGGGATCAAGCTCAACCCGATCACCTCGCTCTACTACGTCGCCCCCTGCTGCTTCGTGTTCCTGGCCCTGCCGTGGGCCGTGATGGAGATGCCGAGGCTGATCCAGACGTCGAGCTTCCACTTCGATCTCCTCATCTTCGGTACCAACTCGCTCTGCGCGTTCGCGCTGAACCTGGCGGTGTTCCTGCTCGTCGGGAAGACGTCGGCGCTGACGATGAACGTGGCCGGGGTGGTCAAGGACTGGCTCCTCATCGCCTTCTCCTGGTCGGTGATCAAGGACATGGTGACCCCGGTGAACCTGTTCGGGTACGGCATCGCCTTCCTTGGGGTCGCCTACTACAACCACGCCAAGCTCCAGGCGATGAAGGCCGCGGAGGAGGCCAAGACGTCGAAGGCCGCCGGCGAGGGCGGTGGCGACGAGGAGGCCGGGAAGCTGCTGGAGGAGAAGCAGTTGAAGAACGGAGACGACTATGAGAAGAAGAGCGAAGAGAAAAATTGATGTCGAAATTGGTAAAACCCTTTCTTCTATTTTAATTTTTAATTTCAGTGGAGGAGGAAAAAAAAATTAAAGATGTCAGATGGCAAATTAATTTTATGTCCAAATTTTTTTGTGTACCTTTTCTTTTTCTTTAGGGGACAAGATTAGCATGAATAAACGGTAAACTGGGGTCATTTAATTTTATACTCTATAGTTTTTTTAATATATTTATATTTTTATATGTTCGGTCCAGATGATGCTGTGAGAGAGATATTTATGGTCGAGAGGAATTTGAGGACTATGTACCAATGTATTGATCCCATGATGTGTCTACACCACTAGCATCTTCTTCTTCTTTTTGTCTTTTTCTTTAACCACCGACCGAGTCACGCGTCTGACCAAGTATTGGATCGAACCGGTCTTTTCATAGATGTCATGTTTTAAAAGTATATAGCAATTTGCTGGTGTACGCATAGGGACTTGTTTAGCCTTGTTTCAATTGATATGGAGCACAAAGATGGAAGGCTACAAAATTGGGGAGAAAATTAGCCAATCGGTTCGATTTGGTCATAAACTTTTCGATTTCGCCAATTTAGTCATCGTCGGCCATCCTCTGTATCGGCAACTTTTTCCGATGAAAATGGACCGTAATGACTACATTGAAATTTCGCCTAAAAGTTTAGGACTGATCGGATAATTTTTCCAAAATTAGACAGTTCGGTGATTCATGATCTTTGGCTTCAAGAAATTGCATGATACATTGTATTAGTCATTGAATACTGCTGGCCTTTATACTTTCTTTTTATTCATTCCTTTTGGGCCTTCATACCTTTTTTCCAGTTGGCCACACCAACGAAGGAAACAAGTGAATAATTTAGTCAACCACTTTTGTGTTATGATCATTCATGTAGACATCAAATTTGGGAAAAAGAAACTCTAACAGGAGCTATTCCGTCAAACCTTTGGGTACAACAAGATCTCGCCATTATAGTCCCGAATCATATCCACGACCGACTCGGCGTGCGGTAATCAACGAGCACGACCCATCCGATGCACGAAGCCATACATCAGAGCCGGCTCGTGTTCAGAGCGACGCGACCTTGTTACTTGTCGCGCACCATCTCAACCGATGACGTCGCATGCGACGAGCTATGACATTGAACAGTTGAAATAAAACCTTCTCAATATATCATTTCATAATGACTCAAGTGATTCCATTCTTACCCTGCTGAAGTTGATTTGGTGGGCTAATCTTGTGGGCTTTGGGCTTTTTGCAAATGTGTTGATTGGAAGAATAAGATGGGAGACCTTTCCATGGATTAGAGATCAATCAAGAGGCTTGACTTGAAGTCAAAAAAGTGTCAAATTGCCAAAGTTTGGCAGATATGCATCTGTTTTTCCTCATGGAATTGTCACTATCGGACCACTATCCCTCTGTCTCTTTTGAAAGCAAGGACCACCAATTCCCCTTGGCATCATTCAGTCCACAAAGGGGGGGCTACCACCGAACTGAACTTTACATGTATATGGGGTTGGAAATCCAAAGAGGTAAAGGTTAAAGAGGGATTGATATGCAACTGGTTCCTCGAGTGACTTCGTACAAAAGTTGGACCCACGGTCGAAGCACCCGAAAGTTTGTAGGATGAATCCTCAAAAAAGATAAGTTGGATGACACTTCGACAAATTACAAAAATCCAAAAATGTCCATTCGATGTCCTCGGTCGGGTTCGCACCCGTTTACAGACTTATTTTAACAAAGAATGGAAGAAAATATGACCGGTGACGACATTTAGTAATATAGGTGGGATGTCCCATGTCTGATCTATGTATCATGTATTTCAGCTGTCGAAGGGACAATTAGTGGGGTTGTTTACCAAAGTGATCAGTATAACAAAAGTTTGATATTCCAATTGGACTTCCATAGTGAAGGGAAGTATCTGTAATCACCGAATCCGAGCAAATAAATGATAACGATCCGGTTTTATGATAAAATAAGTAGTTATTGCAATTCTTTTGGAGCTAATTTGGATAGACGCTCTTGATTGGATCGAGAAGGTGGACTTAATTGGCCAAAATACCATTCATTGTAATACAGGGGCTAAAGATATGAAACATATATGACAATAGGAAGTCAGAGTACATGCCTACGGAAAAAGAGAAGGCAACATAGAGGAAATCCAAACTATACCATGACCAGTTAAAATCACAAAGTGAAAGGTATATCCAACCCCACTCTCACTTTTCCCTAATGTGTTCATGAACACGCTCAAAATCTACTATCCCACATGATCATTAACATTCCAAGCCTTCCTAAACTCAAGCACACATCAAACCTTGTCCTCCATGGAGGATCCGTTGCCAATCTTTTCCATTTGCAAAGTGGGTTTAGTGTTTTGTGGCTTGTACCAAGCTGCACAGACAAGATACAAAGCAAAATTCACTAGGCTCAAGATTGTCAGCAGTCCGTAGAACCAATCGAGCCTCCCGTAATTGATGTGATCTGCCAACCATCCTTGTGTCCCGCCGCTGCCTGTCGCCTTCTTCACGATGGAGACGAGGAAGCTACTGAGGAAGAAGCCGAGCGACAGGGTCGTGAGGAAGAGCCCCGTGCTCATGGTTTTCATGCCCTTGGGCGATTGAGTTATGAAGAAGTCGAGCTGGCCCGTGTATATGAAGGCCTCGCCGGAGCCTACCAAGAAGAATTGCGGGATCAATAGGAACACACTCACCGGTAGGGTGGTGGTAGCACGGCCGACGGATGCAGCAACCGACAGTCTCTTCCGTTCGGTTATTGCGGCAGCTAACATTCCTAAAGTCGAAAGAGCGAGTCCGATTGCAATTCTTTGTAGATTGGAGAAACCTGCATGAAGAAATGCTTAGCATGGATAGATATAAACGTTTTGTGCATATTAAACAATTTAATACTATTTGCAAATTGTTCCTATTCTGATGATCACCTCTCAACAATGCTTCATGAACCGACAACACTAGAAGGGAACAGATATATCACGTTTACCTATAACTCATGCTATTGCAATGTATGCGTATATACCTGGTTTTCCTTTCCATTTCTTCCACGAGGGCATGATGAACCGGTCATAAGCAGCAAGAGTGATCATAATGGCCACCACGAAGAACACGGTGAGCGAGCCGGCTGGGATTTGGAAGCTCCCGATGGACCTTTCCATGGTCGAAGCTTGCTCCACCGAGAACGTGATCATCTGCGCGTATGCTGTCCAGAATATGATTGTCGTGGCCCAAATCGGAAGCAATCTTATCATCATCTTCACTTCCTCCACTCTTGTCACCAAGCACAGCTTCCACCGATTAGGTGCGGAATTATGACCGCCTTTCACGAAGTCTCCTTCGGTAACAATAGCTGCCTTGTCCAAGCACCTGAAGTCGAGACAAATATTAGGTAGTGGATACTTGGATACAATCATAAAAATGACATGACTCAATAGACGAGACAAAAGGAATGGATCTCAGTAACATCTCTCCTTTCTTTAGAAGGGGAAAGGGTAGAGCTTCATATGCTTGATATCAGGAGCAATGAGAGTGATTCATGTGAAAGATAAGAAAAATAACTCGGGAGAGACAAACAACAAATGAGAGCATGAACACGTACCGAAATTGATCAGTGTGATGAATCCTAGACCCTTCAGGACCATCCTCGTACAAGCACCCAACATCGTACGGAACCTCCAAGCTCCTCTTCTTAATCGAAGCGGCCACAACTTGCATTATGTGCACAATGGGACTCCCCATACACTTCTTGTACCTGTACCACCTCGTCCCTGACAAGAACACGAGGATCGCGACGAACATTGCGACTGAGCACGCTCCGTAGGCAACACTCCGGCCGACCTCGTCCTGCACGTACACGAGCACGGTGACGGCAGTCAACGTCCCCATGCTGATTAAGAGGAAGAACCGGTAGAAGAAATAGGCCATCTGGGCCTTTTCCTTCTCGTCCTTGTCGTCGAACTGGTCTGTCCCGAAGCCCGAGACGCTCGACTTGAGGCCGCCCGTGCCAAGGGCCACGAGGTAGAGGGCCAAGTAGAGGATCCCCATTTGGAGCCCATCAGCTTGCTCACATGGGAGGCCGGGTCGGCACGGAGGCGGGCGCAGTCGTGGGAGCTTTGTTGATATTGCTAGCATGGCCGTGCCCTGTAAATAATCATCGATGAGTACAGGAAATGAGTCGAAAAGCTACCGACAAATATTGTTAGAAAATTTCAGGAAAGTATGTTCTGGACCTACACTGAAGACGAATGGACCTGAACTGGGACCAAAGCAAAGCTAGACAAATAGATAGTAAATGTGATAGTTAGGCATGTAAGAGATCAATTTGAGACCCACCAAAGTCTGGATGAAAGCGAAAATGGCGATGGTCCTGTATCGGCCGAGAAAGGAGTCGGCGAGGAAGCCGCCGAGCAAGCAAAGCAGGAAGGAGGTGCCCATGAAGTCGGTGACGATGTTGGCCGAGGTTGAGCTCGGCAAGTGCATGGTCCCGGTTAAGTACGTCACTAGGTTCACTGCTATTCCTATTGTCGACAGCCTCTCACATATCTCTATCCCTGTTATTCAATAATCTCAAATAAATTATTACATAATAATTAGATTTTAATATAGCAAGATAGTAATATCTCGATAAATATGGGAACTACACTCACGATTGGTTACTAAAGTGATAACCATTGTAAAAATATATTTATTAAATGACTAGATTTTTGCAATTATAAAAAATATATAATTGAAAGATAAATATTTGATGTAATAAATTTAAACATGCATGATGCATGGAATAGTAAATTCGTGATTGCTGTTAAGTGATAATTATTATATTCCGCGTAGTTGTGACTTTGGGAGTATTTTAGGAATTTTGATGATATTATTTTCTTATAAACATATGCTTTTCAGGAATCACCTACCTTCTATGCATCATCCATCTATATGATAAAAACAAAAAAATAAAACTTATAAACTCTCGTTTTGTAGAAGTAGAAGCCTACCGCAAGTTAAAAGAAAAATGGAGATGAGCAAAAGGAAACAAAGAAACGACAACTAGTAAAATGGACTATTATGAGTATCACTTGAAGATATGCATGGGACATCTTAAAAAGTAAGAAGAAAAGGGGGGAATCAGAGATATATTCCCGAAGCCATTCATGAAGTATGGCACCAATATCAGCAGAATATCTGCAAATATGCAGTGAGTATGATCTCATCCCTCCTTTTTCAAAAAAGAAAACGTTACTCTATCGCACACTACATCACTTTGGAAAGTGTGTGCACATCATCTCATCTTGTATATGATATAAGAGGTGAATCAAGATCTGTATTAATCATTTCCGGTTTGTTGAGTTTGTACACATGACAGTAATAAGCAGGTAGCATTTGACGTGTCCGAAA